ACACACACACACACACACACACACACACACACACACACACACACACAAAGGCAAATCCAACAACATGACCTTTTCTGAAAATTTCCCCAATGATTTTTCTCATGATAGACTCATACCCAAGAGCTACCAGCAGTTCCTGGCTGTGGTATATGCAATCAGAGAGGTCAACAAGGATCTAGTTCTCCTCCCCAATATCACCCTCGGCTTCCAAATTTCCGACAATCACAAGATTGAGAGAAGTATTTCAATAATCAGCCTCTCACTGCTCTCCACACGAGGACGAATGATTCCAGGTTATAAATGTGACAGGCATGATACTCTGTTCTCTGTAATTGGAGGCTTCATCCCCAAATCTTCAAGGCAGATGGCCTCCATCTTCAACATCTACAAAGTCCCACAGGTAAGGGGATCCAATGATGCATCAGCGATAGACAAAGGCAAACAAGAGAAACACATGGAGAAACCAAAGATGTTTACTGGATCACATCACAAATATGTGACTTAAAGAATCCACATGACATTTAAATTTATATTTATGTTTGATGTGTCAAGATCATTTTTATATAACATTACAATCACTTAAATATAAGCCAGTAGTGGGCTGCAGCTGCCAAAAAGCCAACACAGTTCTAGACTACATAAACAGTGGGATAGAATAAAGATCGCATGAAGTGTTAATACTGCTTTATAATGCCTTGGTAAGACCACACTTCGAATACTGTATTCAGTTTTGGTTGCCACGGTGTAAAAAAGTGGTTGAGATTCTCGAAAGAGTGCACAGAAGAGCAACAAAGAGGATTAGGGGATTGGAGTCTAAAACATATAAAGAACGGTTGCAGGAATTGGGCCTGGCTAGTCTAATGAAAAGAATGACTAGGGGTAAAATGGTAGCAGTCTTCCAATATCTCAGGAGTTGCCACAAAGAAGAGGGAGTCAAGCTATTCTCCAAAGCACCTGAGGGCAGGACAAGAAGCAATGGATGGAAACTAATCAAGGAGAAAAACAACTTGGAACTAAGGAGGAATTTCCTGGCAGTAAGCACAATTTATCAGTGGAACAATTTGCCTCCAGAAATTGTGAATGCTCCAGCACTGGAAATTTTTAAGAAGAGATTGGACAACCATTTCTCTGAAATGAAAGGTTTCCTGCCTAGGCAGGGGGTTGGACTAGAAGATCTCCAAGGTCCCTTCCAACTCTGTTATTCTATTCTATTTCTTAAATGTTGACCATGCCAAGAGGAATTCTTTATCACAGATAACAGATAATCAGAGTTGGAAGGGACATTGTAGGTCATCTAGTCCAACTCCCCACTACCCAAGCAAGAGACCCTACACCATTTCTGACAAAAGATAGTCCAATCTCTTCTTGAAAGTCTCAAGTGATGGTGCTCCCACAATGTCTGAGGGAAAGCTGTTCCATTGGTTGATTGTTCTCACTGTCAGAAAGTTCCTCCTTATTTCCAGGTTAAAATTTTCTTCCCCAAACCCCAAAAACTTTAACTTTAGACTGTCTACTATTGACCTCACCCCTTTCCTAAGAGGTCTGTAGGGGGGTGCATAAGTGCATCAACGTGCCTACCATCCCTGTCCTATTGTTTCTTTTATATTTCTTGTATATTTTTATATGTATCCATGTATTCATAACTATGTTTTTACTTATATCTATTATCTTGTAAGCAATTGACAAAAATAAATAAATAAATAAAAATCTCTCCTTGTTCAGTTTCCATCCATTATTCCTTGTCTGGCCTAAAGGTGCTTCAGAAAATAGCTTGACCCCTTCCTCCCTCAAATTTTGGAAGACCGCTATCGTGTCTCTCCTGGTCCTTCGCTTTACTAGACTAGCCAAGCCCAGTTCCTGCAACCGTTCATTGTATGTTTTAACCTCCAGTCCCCTAATCATCCTGGTTGCTCTTCTCTTCTCTGTACTTTTTCTAGAGTCTTTTTTATAATGTGGTGACCAAAACTGGATGCAGTACTCTAGGTGTGGTCTTACTAAGGCTTTATAGAGTGGTATTAGTACTTCCCTTGATCTTGATTTTATTCCTCTGTTAATATAACTTAGGATTGCATTGGCTTTTTTGACTGCTGCTGCACACAGCTGGCTCCTATTTAGCTGGTTGTCCACTAGGACTCCAAGATTCCTCTCACAGTTACTGCTATTGAACCTGGTTCCACCCAGTCTATATGTGTACTTTTGGTTTTTCTTGCCTAAGTGTAGGACTTTATTTTTCTCTACATTGAATTTCATTTTGTTAGATATGGCCCAGTGTTCTAGTCTGTCAAGATCCATCTAAACCTTGAGCCTATCTTCTTGTGCCTATCTTTATGTGGCCTATCTTGAGCCTTTCTTGAGTCTATTGTAAGGCATCTAGAAAGTATCCATGATATCAATCACACCGAGACGTTATCTTTCCAATTGATTTATTAGAAATAGATCTGGCATGTCAAAAGCAATTTCTCAAGTGAAAGTTTTTTCGTGCGTTACACAGAATCCACCTTTTCTCCTCCCTTTTCTCCTCCCATTTCTACACTTCATAACTCACAAGAACCAATTAACTGCAACTGGAAATTCTTAATCCAACATACAGAATAACCTTGAACTTTTCAACTCCTCTAACTCTCAAAAAAAATGTGGCAGCTGAATTTCAAAGCTGACACCTATCATTATGGAGAAGTTGTTGCCTAATTAATGAATACTTCATACATTGTAGCCACCCTTTCAGTGCAGTTTATTCACTGTGGATGGTTTGTTTCCTTTTCTTCTGACTATAACCAAGCAAAATTTGTAACTTTGCACTCTTCCTAAAAAGGCAGAAACTGAAGCTTGCCACTCAGAGTGAATCAGACTGACTAATGGGGCCATCAACCATACAATGGTGACCCCTTAAGTCACCATAAAATTTTACTTTGTCTTTGAAAGAAGACTCTCACTTTCTCCAGCTTGGTGTTGGCTTTGAGTTCTCTCAGGGAGAGAGATCAGCTCATCCTTCCTTCTTCCGGATTAATCCCAAGGAATCCCCTCAGTATGTGGGTTTAGTTCAACTTCTTCTCTACTTCCAGTGGAACTGGGTTGGGCTTGTGACCCCTAAAAGTGACAGCGGGGAACATTTCATCTCATCTCTAATGCCAATGCTCAGGGAGAAGGAGATCTGTGTGGCCTTCACTGAAATATTGAAACCGGATAATTTTCCCGATACATGGAATACATTTCATCTTTTTTTAAAAAACTGTTGTCAAACTGAAGTGATTGTTCTCTTTGGAGACCCTCATACTAATGCAAATGTACAGTCCGCTCTGCATTTTTATGTAACGTCCACAAAGTCAGTGCCTCAGAAAGTTTGGATCCTAACTTCCCAATGGAAACACAATGTGGTGGCAGCTAAAGATGCATTGCCGGTTATAAAGCCCTTCCATGGGTCTTTGCAGTTAAGGGACCACACAGGGGATATCTCAGAATTTAGAGATTTTCTTCTATCTTTAGACCCTTTTAACCCAGAAGGGGACAATTTTCTCCCACAGTGGTGGGAAAAGGTCTTTGACTGCAAGATCCAGAAACCAGGAAGGATCATTCCAAAGAAGAAATGTACAGGAAAGGAGAATGTACAAAATGTGCCCACTCACATTTTTGAAATCAGCATGACAAGTGCAAGTTACAACATCTACAATGCCATTTTTGCTCTGGCACATGCGTTGCATGCAATGTATGGATCAGGAGTGAGACAAGCCCTGATGAGGCTTGGAAAGGTGATCTCAAATGTCTATTCATGGCAGGTAATCTTTGTGAGTTTTTATTTAGTCCATAAAGTTTTAGTGTCATGCCCCTGTTGGAATCTGATTCTGAGGGGGTAGTCAAGCAGCTGATAGGGAGTGGGAGTGTGATTCTGGAGGCTGTAGAAGAAAGTGGGGAAGGGCACAGTCGGGCTGGGCCTTCAAAGGAAGACCCAAGGCCACCTTCTCTTCATTCTAGGGAGAACAGAGAAGGGAGCAAAGTGAGTTACATGGGTTATGGGGGAGAAAAGGGGCCTGATTCCCCTCATTAGCTGCACCTGGGAAAACAGGGTTTAAAAAGGATGTTTGCGCACAGCACCTTGCTGGAAGCAAAGCATGCATTGTCTTTGTTTTCAAGTCCTATCTGGGTTCTGGCGTCCTCCCAAATGTGTATGTTTTGTTATCTTTTTCAATTCCTTATCCTGCCTTGTCTCGTTAATTGCTGCAGTGTGGTTTGTGTTGTTTTTTTATTTATAATCTATATGTACTTTGGGTTCAGATGGAATTTCTTTTCTTTAAAAACTGTTCTTGGGAGAGGTTTTTTTTCCAGTCGATGATAACTGGACACTGGGGGCCAAGTTGGAGGCATTAAAGGGACTTTACCTACTTTTGTGACTTGGCTGCTTTTGTGCCATGCCCCTTTTGGTCATCACACTTAGATACTCTCTATGTATTTCTGGAATTTACTGACTCAATATCTGTATGCTACCATATCAATGTATCTCAGAACAGATCAGGGTACCATTTTAAAACAGTATAATGGCATGAAATAAGTACCATTGAGTCCAAAATTTACTAAGAAAAGCAGCTGTTAAATAAGTTTGACCCTTTTATGACATTTTTGCCACAGTTGTTGAGTTGTGGTCATTAAATGAATCTGGCTTCCCCTACTGGTTTGCTTGTCATAAGCCAGCTGGGATGGTTACAAATGGGGATTTCATGACTCCAGAACAGTGAAACTATTATAAATACATGCAAGTTGTCAATTGCCCCATTTTTGATCACATAACCACAGAGATACTTCAATGGTCGTAAGTGCAAAAACTGGTAATAAGTCATTTTGTTTGGTGGTGATGTCATTTCAAATGGTCAGTGAACAAATGGTCGTAAGTCAAGAACTACCTGACTTTGTAATAACATTGGTTAAAAGGTAATTATAGGATGGAGAGATGGATATATACATGGATATAACACCATCACTCTACTAAAAAAATAATTCCCTCAACACTGTCGAACTATTTACTAAGTCTGCATTAATATTATTATTAATCCCCTCATCCTTCCTTTCACCTATCTCCCCCCACTTATGACTGTGTGACTGTAACCTTGTTCCTTGTATCCTAAGGCTTTTTATTGACTGTTTCCTAGTATGTGTGGTGGTCTGGCACTTGAAATGAGACGCAGGGAAACGTCTGAGCAAATGCCAGCCCCGAGTAAACCCAGGTGCCAGCTTTTATTGAGAACCAAAATGCATATACAGAAAACAAGTGACCTCAACAGGATGTTATCTCCACAGGATATACAGGATGAGAATATACAGCTGCGGAAATTCCCATGGGAATATCTCCCCTGTTTGCCATGAACCCTCACATACATTCCTGGTCTCTGAGCTTGCAGATCACAACAGGACCAAACGTCCATCATAAAAGCACTACTGCCCCCACGAGGAGCGTTTGTAAAGCCCCCAGATCTTATGCAAAGCTATACGAGGACTTGCAGAATAAAATATATTACCACATTCCCTCCTTTTTTATTTATTCAAAGATAGGGGGTGTTTTAGTGGCATAATACACAGTTCCCTCGCGACTTTGTCTCGTACGCTGAAAAACTGAGGTACATATTTGAAATAGATTAGGAATACATTGAATACAGCAACACAACAGAATAAGTATAATAACAATTGTCACAACTAACTGAAGCAATAAACGTAACCATGAGCTGTCAGGAAGCCAATCCCATAGCAAAGCCCAAGGTGACTTATCAAAGCCATCTTTTCCTGCTTCGTGTTCAGCTATGCGGTCTTCCATATCATGAACAGTTCTTGTAATGTTAGGCTCATAATTATGTATAAAAATACAACAATGTGAATGAATTAAGGCACAAACTCCTCCTTTGGCAGCTAACATTATGTCTAAAGCATAACGATTTTGTAAAGTAATTTGGCGAATTTCAGACACTTCTTCATTTAACATCTTAATGCTCTTAACAGTATTATTAAACATAGCAACAGTGAAATTATTTAAAATATGCAGATCCCGATAATTCATAGCCACCCCCAAAGGTGGTAATGCCGCCCTGGAAAGTTGAGTTAACCACCACCCTCCCGTGGTGAGACCCGAATCCACCTCCCTCCTGTTACGAATCCGGGCCTTGGGCAGTTGGTCTAACTTATAAATTACTGGGATGACATGCCCAATCGTACACACCCCAGACCAATCCTTTGGCCATTGTTGATAGGCAGTATCCCCACATAGCAACCATAACCCATCCGGAAGAGGAAAGTATTTTAAATGCTTATGATAGGTATTATTGGAGGCCTCACTTTCCCAACTCCACATTAACCACATCCAAGTACAGAGAACATATGCCCCATGACCAATGTCAGGCCTCTTAGTGACTGTCTGATTTATGCAACAATCCAATTTAGTCCTTAACGCTTTGTCCAAGGAGGATGATGTCTGAATCACCCCATTACATCCATCCACCGTATTATCCCTGGCAACACAAGACATACATCCTCCTTCCAAAGGGATCACCTTCTTACAGAGCGTGGTATTTCCCAGCAAAATAGATTGAATCCCTACAGGGGGGCGGTAATAACAAACCGATGCTTTGGTAGTGAAAGCTACCTTTGTTGTGAACAATGTTTGATTCCACTCTTCGGGGTCTGGACCCCAGTGAAGCCAATGTTTAAAATCATTATAATCTAAATTAGCACTGGTTCGCTCATTCAAAGGAACACCATGTAACAAAACTCCACCTTTCCCAGACCCAGGCACATGCATACAAAGCCAACAATTAGTTACATTTAAACCCTTAGCCGCCATCCGAATGTCCTTGATGTAGGAATTTTCTTTCCATAAATTATCACCAAGGTCTCTAGTTTTTGAGATAATAGCAGTTCTCCGCCTCCGTATTAGAGTCCGTGGAGGCATAAGACGAATGGAAAGAGAGTCTGTGTAAGGTAACTTAGGCAACTCCAATTGACACCAATACTGTCCATAGTCTGAAACAGAAACATTAAACAGAGTTGTAGCACAGGCTGAAGATATAATATCCTTATCAGGTCCCGAATAAAGAATGTCTTGACCCTTATGCCAGGACCAATATGCTGGAAAAATCAAAGGATGCCGCTGTTTGCAGATCAATTTAGTCCGATTCCCTAAAGGAACCTGCTGCATACAAGTTGGCAATCTCAGATAAGCAGTCATCTTTTTCCAGCCTTCACAGCGCCACGCCTGGACTGCTGGCATCAAGAGAATCAGGAACCACAGGAACGCCATCCTGCTCCTCCGAAACCTCCTTCACTGGCACCTGCGAAGGCGCCTGCGAATGATCAGGCCGAACGCATCGACCAGGAACCCAACGAATTTGACCAAGATGTTCTACTGCTGCATAACCACGTCCCCACATAATCAGCTCAGCGGGAACCCATGCCGGATCCGGAAGGAATCGCACCAACACTCGAGGCCTCACTGCATCTGTAGAAGGAGAAGAAAAATGCCTGCTGGCCGCACTCGCAGGGGGGTTACCAGACAAATTTAAAAAATTTAAAGTATACAAGGCTAGATTTAAATGATCTTGAATTGCCGGAAGCCCCAGGAGCTTCCCTCCTTTTTTATTTAATTTAGCTAACATGTTCTTGAGCGTGCCATTATAACGCTCCACAATAGCCTGTCCTGTGGAATTGTATGGAATTCCAAATTTATGTTCCACGGACCACTGTTTGCAAAACTGATCAAAGGCTGTGCTCCGATAAGCCGCACCATTGTCTGTTTTTAAAGTTTGAGGCGTACCAGCAACTGAAAATGTCTTAATGCAATGATTGATGACATGTTTAACCGCTTCACCTCTTTGAGGAGTAGCCATTAGGAATCCTGAGTAAGTATCCACAGTCACATGTATATACTTCCAAGGTGCAAATGATGGATACTGAGTAACATCCATTTGCCAAATCATTGAGGGTTTCAACCCCCTGGGGTTGACTCCCATAAGGATAGCCGTGCCCTGCTTTGAACAAGTTGGACATTGCTGAATTATGGCAGCAGCTTCTGCAGCAGTAAGCTTGAATTGATGTGCCAACGCTTTAGCATTTTGATGAAAATAACTATGGCTGTCCCATGGCTGGACAGTGAGAACTGAAGTTACAGCACTGTCAGCTTTGGCATTGCCTTGTGATAAAATTCCAGGCAAATTACTATGGCTGAGAATATGGGCAACAAAACACACATTCGCACGCTGCTCCAAACATCCTTGCAACAACAAAAGCAAACGTAAAATATTGGGTGATATTCCAGGAGACAAATAAGAACCTGCTACAAAGGGTAACAAATTATATACATACAAAGAATCCACTATTAGATTAAAATCCTGATTTTGAAAATTTTGAAAAGCCAAAACTACAGCAGCAAGTTCTGCCTGCTGGGCAGACTTCTGCTCTGATGTCACTTTTGTATGCCAAATTCCAAATTTATCTTTCCAAACACAAGCACCAAAAACTTTCCCTCCATCAGTAAAGACTGTAGGAGCATCTGATTCCCTGTGGAAGGACAGTCCATGCATATCACTTAGCGGGCTGCCCCTGATTTATACTCAAAATAGTAAAAGCAAACAAATCTACATCTTCAGGGTGCAGAGGAATGGAGAAGAAAGCATCTTGCAAATCTAACACTCTTATGTTCCATCCATCAGGTATTAAATTAGGATTAGGTGTCCCACACTGTAGTGGGCCCATTGGCTTTAAGATTGAATTTATCCCCCTCAGGTCATGAAGAAATCTCAATTTTCCAGATTTCTTCTTGATAACAAAGACTGGAGAATTATAAGGACTAGTAGTAGTCACTATATGTCCCTTTTCCAATTGTTGTTGAACTAATTCATGTAAATGAACTAATTTCTCACTAGTCAAAGGCCATTGATCTATCCACACTGGCTCCTGCTGGAGTAACTGTAATTTTAATAACTCCACAGGTGGGTGTTCAGTCATCATGAATGACAACTGTTGTATCAAACTGTTGCATCAAATCTCTGCCCCACAAATTAACGTGAAGGCGCAAAACAATCGGTTGGAAATGTGCAATAGCACTTCCCTGCTTTGTTTTGGCAGAAAGAATCCTCCTACTAACCCGTGCGTCTTGAAGTCCTCCGACTCCTCGAACAGACGGTGTAGGATCTGTCGGCCACTCCCTAGGCCATTCACTTTCACTAATCACCGAGACATCTGCTCCAGTGTCCAGCAATCCAATAAACTGTCTGCCTTCAACCAAAAGAGTTAATTTTGGTTTCTGATCAGCCTTGACATTTTGCATGATGGAAAACACACTAGACTCACTAAACGTATCTGTAGATCCAAATCCACCCTGGTGAATTCTATCTGATTCCCCCAAAGACAGATATGGCAAAACTAAAAGCTGTGCAAAACAATCCCCTTTTTTCAAAGATTGAGGAACAGGTGAATGAACTTGAATTTTGATCTGACCCTCATAATCCGAATCAATAACCCCAGGAACCACAAACAATTTATGCTTATGAGCTGATGATCTAGGAAGAAGAAGACCCACAGAAGCCGGAGGCAACGGTCCATAGAAATCCGTTGACCCTAAACAAACTACATGTGGATATCCCAATTCCAAATCCTCAGCTAATGGAAGATCAATTCCTGCTGAACCTTTTGTAGCTGGTGACCATATTTGATTCCTACCTCTCTCTGGTGGCTCCAACCCTTCGGACATTACTTCACTCTTTAGAGTAGGGAGAATGCCCTGATCCCTGCTTCCTAGTTTTTTTCCTTCAGAATGAAGTCTGCACTGATTTGCCCAATGGTATCCTTTCTTACATTTCGGACACACTGATTTGGGACGAACACCCTGTCCTAATAATCTCCTTTTTTGCTGACTCTGACCCCCTCCAGGAGCCCGACATTGCGCTTTAAAATGTCCAGGCTTCCCACAATTGAAACAAGTTCCTTTTTTAGCATTTCCTGCCTGCAGAGCCAGAGCTAAAGTTTCCATGTTAAAAGTCTGACTCCCTACCTTTCTACATGCGTTAATTAAATCGGCGATCTCTCGCTCTCCACTCGCAATAAGTGGATTCAGAATCTTTCTGCAATCTGCGTTTGCCTGTTCTACTGCTAACTTCAAAAGCAATTCGTTTCGGGCAAATTGATTGTCAATTTGCCTTTCAATAGCCACTTTCAATCTGCTAATGAAATTTTCATAGGGTTCATTGTTCCCTTGTTTGATGTTAGTAAAGGTCTTCTCACCACCTTCGCCATCAGGGAGAGCCCCTATGGCTTGTAAAATTAATTGTGGGAGAAGAACGAACCCCTCTTCAGGCATTCCATCTCTCTGTTGTTCTACTGTTGTATAATTACCAGCTCCATAAAGCTGATCTGCGGTGACATTTGCTGTTCCCCTCTGAACTGCCAGCTGTCTCCATTTCTGATCTAACACCAAAAATTGAGCTGGGGTTAGAATCATATTTAACAGAGCTTTCCAGTCAGCTGGAATCATTTTATTTCCATAACCAACTGCTTCTAGCAATGCCTGAGCAAATGGCGATCTAACACCATATTCTTTCACTGCTTGCTTAATTTCCTTTAAAACACTGAGAGGCAGAGGCTTCCATACTCTCTGCGGATTTAAAGCAGCGTCCATGCCAATTTCTATTGGGTTAAGTTGAATCTCCACTCCAAATTCTACCAAATCATCTCCTGATAATTCCCCTCTATTTGTTGCTTCCTGAATAGCTGCAGTAACTGCATCTAGTTGAACTCTTAAAGGCAAACTCTTATCTTCTGACAAAGTGTTTTCAGTGCCTGACAGTCCTCTGGATTTATCTGGAGGTGCTGTCGGTGGCAATAAACGTACCGCATGGTAAGGCGGCAAACCTTCTTCGGGGGGTGCTAGGAGCGGTTGTTCATGAGTAGCTAATGCATCCATAACCACCCTCCAGGTTAACAAAATTGAAGAAGGGGCACGAGGCTCCTCGTGCAAAAATTTCCCTATCTTTTTCCAGGACTCTACTTTAATACTACCTCCCTCTGGATATGACTGAATATGTTTCCAAATATACTGTAATAAGTCCTCAATTTCTTTCTTTCCTACTTCATGTCCTCTACTATGAACTCCAAACTTAAACCTATTCCAAGTGATCTCTCTCAATTCCCTGAGGTGCTTTGTCTGAGCCTTCGAGAGATCTCCCCCCATACTCATGAAAAGAATCTATCTCCGTCTAGCGAAGAAGATGAGGGCCCAGTCGACGTCCGCGACGATGAGTATAGGATGCAGGAAACGTATAGCCTTTCAAAGCTATCACGTCGAAACGTATAGCCTTCCAAACTATCACGTCGAAACGTATAGCCTTTCAAACTATCACGTCGGGGTCACCACTTGTGGTGGTCTGGCACTTGAAATGAGACGCAGGGAAATGTCTGAGCAAATGCCAGCCCCGAGTAAACCCAGGTACCAGCTTTTATTGAGAACCAAAATGCATATACAGAAAACAAGTGACCTCAACAGGATGTTATCTCCACAGGATATACAGGATGAGAATATACAGCTGCGGAAATTCCCATGGGAATATCTCCCCTGTTTGCCATGAACCCCCACATACATTCCTGGTCTCTGAGCTTGCAGATCACAACAGGACCAAACGTCCATCATAAAAGCACTACTGCCCCCATGAGGAGCGTTTGTAAAGTCCCCAGATCTTATGCAAAGCTATACGAGGACTTGCAGAATAAAATATATTACCACAAGTATGATTTGATTTCTTATGACTATTATTAAGTGTTATACCTTATGAGTTGTGACAAATGTATCTTTTCTTTTATGTACATTGAGAGCATTTGCATCAAGACAAATTCCTTGTGTGTCCAATCACACTTGGCCAATAAAGAATTCTATTCTATTCTATTTTACTATGTATGTGTTTGAGAGACTATTTGGTGGAGTTGACTCCAATTTAAATTTTGCTTTTTTTGCAGCCCCTCAGGTGTGGGCTGCAACCAGTTTAACACACACAAATGCACACAAATCACAGGAGAAAAACTATTGAACAAAATTTGGAATACAGAATTAACATCTTGATATGTAGGTATTATTCCAGTATGGTTGAAATAGAAAAAGCTATGATACAAATGTCCAAAGAATTTTTTTTATTATTATTAATCCTCCCATCCTTCCTTTCACTCATCTCATCCCACTTATGACTGTAACCTTGTTGCTTGTATCCGAATACTTTTTACTGACTATTTCCTAGTATGATTTGATTGCTTATCATACTCTGTGACTATCATTAAGTCTTGCACCTTATGATTTTTTACTCTTGACGAATGTATCTTTTCTTTTATGTACATTGAGAGCATTTGCATCCAGACAAATTCCTTGTGTATCCAAACACACTTGGCCAATAAAGAATTCTATTCTATTCTATTTTACTCTGTGTGTGTTTTGAGAGAATATCTGGTGGAGTTGACTCCAATTTACATTTTGCTTTTGCATAGAGTTTCCTCAGGAGTGGGCTACAACCAGTTTAACAACACACACATACACATACAAGTATCGCAGGAGAAAAACTATAGAATAAAATTTGGAATACGGAATTAACATCTTGATATTCCAGTACAGTTGAAATAGAAAAGGCTATGATACAAATGTCCAAAGAATTGTTTTTTTTTTTTTTGGTAATGTTGGGAAAGAGGTCAAATATTTGCTTTTACTCCTGATTGCTCAGAACTCCACCAAGGGAACATTTTTAGCTTTTCAGATACACATCTAAGCTACTGACTGTCACAAAATGATAGAATCCCAGAATGTTTCATTTGTGACTTTCTGGTTGATTAATTTCTGAATGTTTATTTTCTTTCAGATCCTTGCTTATTTGAGGAATATCCACTTCAACAACAGTGCTGGAGAGAAGATCTCCTTCTCAGAAAACGGACTTGGATCTTCTCAATATGATATTCTCAACTGGGTTTTCCTCCCCAATCAATCGTTTGTCGCTGTGAAAGTTGGGCAAGTAGATGCTGGGGCTCTCCCAGGCCAAGAGTTCATCATTAACTCTGATGCTATCATCTGGGTCACAAAGGTGAGATGGAAGGAAGTGCGGTAAATTTAGGGAAATATTCTTTCTTTCTTTGGGATGCAGAATGGAAACTGGAAACAGAACTACTGAATTACAAAACATGCAGCTATTTGGTGAAAAAACTTCTTTGCATGTAACACAATTGAGGTAGATATTTAACAGCTTTACAAAGGTTCAGGATAGGAAAGAAATTCTGCTTGAAACCCAGGATGCAATTGGGGGAGCCAAGAACAATTTTCATGGGCCTGTTCTGGCTTGCCAGTCATTGCCCCCCCCCCCCCCAGAAGCCAAACCAGATGAGGAGGCAGCATGGGATTCAGGGCCAACATCAAGGCAATCCAAGAGCTCCAAGGGGGAAGAGGGAATAGAGCTGTCAGAGATAGAAACAGAGGCAGAGCCTGAGCCATCCATCAGCCCTCAGAGGGAGAGTCAACAGCCCCCAGGTATGGAGGTGGCTGATGAAAAAGAGGAGGAACAGCTGAGTCCAGTGCCTGATGCGCAGATGCACAGAAAGCAGAGGAGAGGAGAGCAGTGGAAATCTGTGGGCCAGTCCTTGGGATGGAAGAGCCACCACTGCAAATGAAGCCCTACCCTAGCTCTGGGGATAAAAGGTAGGGGTTGGAGATGAACAGACAACTATTCATCTGAAACATTTCTCTTTTTTTCTTTTAGAAGGTGCCCTTTGCCAGATGTGGCAAGAAGAGGTGTCAGGCAGGAGAGATGAGAAGAGTTCCAGAAGGTCAGCAGGTTTGCTGCTACCAATGTGCCCCTTGTCCAGAAGGGACCATTTCTGATCAGATAGGTAGGTCACACTTCAAATTAAGTCTTCCATGGTCAAGGAAACCATTCAGCAGATATTAATATGTTTTCATATTAATTAATGTTTGATAGGATTGACATGCTTCAAAGTATTCATAGTTCTCAGCAGAGCATTGAAGTTTATGGAACTAAACTCACCTTCCCCCACAGCAGGGGTGGGATTCTACCTGTTCTATCTGGTTCTATAGATCCCCTTGTTTACTTTCTAAGCAGTTTGGAGAACTGGTAATTAGAAGCAATCTCTGTTTGTTTTTTTACCACCCTTATTACATTCTTGCCAGTACACCTAGACTTCCTGTCTCTGGAGCTTTTGAGGCTTGACTTTCTTAAAGGGGAAGAGTTGTTTTGAGATTTTTACACTGCTATTGGGAGGAAATACTTCCCTGGACAATCAGCACTTTGAAGAAATAATTGAATAATGAAGCAAAGCTTTTAGTGACAAGATGAGTAACATTCAGCAAGGCTTCTTGGCTAGCTAGAAAGATTAACATTCAAATGTGAGTTTACATACCCGTTCTGAGTTTTGGTCTAAAACTGGTTTTTGGTGAAGGATAATTCTGTGCTTGGTGATGTTTAATCCTGTGTTTACTGATGAGATAATTTTCCCTATTCAGCTTCAATAAACAACAGATACTGTTGTGATTTCATTATTTGTATTGTGTTTGGATTTTTTCTTTGCTCATGGTTTCTTTTTCTACCTGGGAAGTGGGTCTTCCTCACTTCTTTAGCACTGTTCTTTTGGGGTATACTTCCAAGAGGCAGGATGCAAGCTTGGCACTGATTTTTTTTTTTTTACTGCCTTTCTGGGGGGCACGTGACCTTTCCTTAAATCTGGATGATTTCCTTAGGATATCTTATGAGGTGAGTGAGACCAGCTGGTATTTTTAAATGGTGCAAATGGATCTAAGAATTGCTTTTCCTGGGTGTGCTTTTTCTGGAGAGCTTAAATGACCTCTCTACTAAAGGGTTTCACTTTATGAGCAACAGTAGGCTGCTTGATAGTTATCATTGCATTTTAACTATTTTCATTCCTCAAGGTGCTCTGGCATCCTGCCTGATTTGTAACTCTGGCTTGCAGGTACTTTTAATCTAATGATTGGCATCAAGGGCAGCTTTTTGCAAGCAAAGAAGCTTTTTGTATTTTTGTACAGGTAATCCTTGACTTACAACAGGTCATTTAGTGACCATTCAAAGTTACAAGAGCACTGAAAAAAGTGACTTATGGCCATTTATCACACTTATGACCATTGCAGCATCCCCATTGTCATGAGAGGCCAGGCAAGGAGAAGCGCCCCTTGACATGAGTGATGTTGAGTTGATCAAGCCCACCCAGTCACAGGGTCACCAAGCCACACCCACTAAGCCACGCCCACAGAACCGGTTGTTAAAAAAACTGAATCCCACCCCTGCCCCACAGGCCAACTTTTCTGCTCCTAACCAATTTAATGCAGGGTAATTTCAGCAAACAACTTATGGGTACCCTATTAGCCCTTCTTCCCTGCTTTCACATCCCATTGGAAGAATAGCTATCAATCTTTTCATAAAGGATAGGAATGTAAGGTTCAAGCTTTACTTTTTATTATTTAGGTGTTGCTTCTTTTTTCAGCACTCCTAATCTCCTAGGAAATTGATGGGAGAAATAAGACATTGATTTATTCCTATCTACTAACCTTCCCTAGAGGGAAAAAAATCTGAATGGGCAGATTTGAAATACAAACAGAGACGCTGACGCAGAAAGCTCTCAATGTTATCTTGTCTCTGCAACTTTCTTTCCTTTCTCTCTCCTCTAATCAATTTGCTGGTAATTCACTTTTGAACAGAAAAAAAGAATTTTCTCCCTTACAATATTCAATATACAGTTGCATGTCCTTTTCTCTCTCATTCAGCCCAGAACAATGGACAAGATACACACAAAAACAAAATGCAAGGTACAATGTATGTGGTACCTTGCTCAATAGTAGTAACTGTGAGAGGGATCTTGGAGTCCTACTGGACAGCCATTTAAATATGAGCAAGCAGAGTGCTGCAGCTGCCACACAGATGGGTAGAATCAAGATCACGTGAAGTGTCAATACTGCTTTATAATTCCCTTGTAAGGACACACTTGGAATCCTGCATCCAGTTTTGGTTGTCATGATGTAAAAAAGATGTTGAATTTCTAGAAAGAGTGCAGAGAAGAGCAACAAAGATGATTAAGGGACTGGAGGCTAAAACATATGAAGAACAGTTGCAGGAACTATGTCTAGTCTAATGAAAAGAAGGACTAAGGGTGACATGATAGCTGTCTTCCAATATCTCAGGGGCTGCCACAAAGAAGAGGGAGTCAAATTATTATCCAAAGCATCTGAGGACAGGAGAAGAAGCAATGGGTGGAAAGTAATCAAGGAGAGAAGCAACTTAGAACTAAGGAGAAATTTCCTGACAGTTAGCACAATTAATCAGTGGAACAACTTCCCTCCAGAAGTTATGAATGCTCCAACACTGGAAGGTTTTGAGAAGAGATTGGACAACCATTTGTCTGAAATGATCCAGGGTTTCCTGCCTAAGCAGGGGGTTGGACTAGAAGAGCTCCAAGTTCCCTTCCAACTCTGTTATTCTATACATTAACAAAATAGCAAGACTCCTGGTTTACAGATCTATCAGAATTCTGTGGGTTTCAGTATAAATTAAGAAAAAACATATTTCATAGTTTCTCTCACTCTGAAATGTACACATTGATGTGCCCAGTGATTGGAGAGACCCTTTATACCAGAGCAAATTGCTGGGGCTTAACAGATTCTGGTCTCTTAATAGCCTACCATCAGTGTCATGGATGATTTTCTCTTTTTGATCCTATATATAACACACATAGTTCATTCCATCACTACATCAGTAAGTTGGCCACAGCAGAAAGGAGGCAGTCATGTCACCCTGATGGGAGAGATAATGCTTATAGCAGATGCCCCTGAAATCCTTAAACAAAGATTCTTCATTTCAGATGCTGCTCACTGTGACCTCTGCCCAGAAGACCAATACCCCAATGAACACAAGAACCACTGCATTGCCAAGAGGATCCACTTCCTCGCCTATCGAGAGACCCTGGGATACACTTTACTATGTCTTGTTCCTTTTCTCTCTATGATCACATTGGGAGTCCTGGTGATTTTCCTTATACATCACGAAACACCGATTGTCAAGGCCAACAACCGAGATCTCACCTATATCCTCCTGGTCTCCCTCCTGCTCTGCTTCCTCTGCTCCTTCCTCTTCATTGGTCGACCCAGGAAGGTCACCTGTCTCTTCCAACAAACTTCATTTGCCATCCTCTTTTCCCTTGCAGTTTCCTCTGTCTTGGCAAAAACTGTCATGGTGGTTCTGGCATTTATGGCCACAAAGCCTGGGAATAAGACAAGGAAACTCTTGGGAAAACCACTGACCAATTCCATTGTCATAGCCTGTCCCCTGATCCAAGCCCTTCTTTGTGCCACCTGGCTGGCAATTTCTCCTCCATTTCCTAACATGGACTTCCACTCCTTAGTAGGAGAGATCATCTTGGAATGTAATGAAGGCTCAGCTTCCATGTTTTATGCTGTCCTCACCTATCTGGCTTTCCTGGCCTTCATCAGTTTCACAGTGGCTTTTCTGGCTAGGAAATTGCCCGACAGCTTTAATGAAGCCAAGTTCATTACTTTTAGCATGCTGGTCTTTTGCAGTGTTTGGATCACATTCCTTCCCACCTATCTGAGCACCAAAGGGAAATCCATGGTGGCTGTGGAGATTTTCTCCAACTTGGCCTCTGGAACTGCTCTCCTGGTTTGTATCTTTTTTCCCAAATGCTACATTATCTTACTGAGACCACATCTGAATTGTAGGGAGAATATAATGAGTCACAAAAATCTCTGACGTATGCAGGAATTGAAAACTTTTTTTTTGACTTTAGGAAATTTGTGTACTTAATCTGATTTCTTAAAATGAGGAAAATTGTTAATAAAATGGTGTGTCTGATTAAAAGGATCACTTAATCATCAACATTTATGCTACATTTGTGAAAATTTATTTTGATTTTTGGACATTATTGCATTTCCCCTTATTACAAAACAGTAATGTAATCAAGTGATGTGCTTTATCTATTATTCAGGAACAATCATCCACCCTATAATTTTTCATCCATTCCCATTCTCCCCAGTGAGGGCCCATGATTAAATGGGGAAAAAATGATATTAAAGATGTGGTTATTAATTTCCAGAAGTACAATCTTGTACTTTATCTTAATCAAGAGATTGTAAAATATGTCATATGAGGTATGTGTCAGTGGATATTTTCCTGCCCCTGGTAGTCTTACTATTTTTCTGGGTTTTTTTTTTTCCAAATACTGTAAAGAAGCTAAGACTCGGAATGAACTAAGACTTGCAACAAAAGTCAAAGATAATAAAAAACATTTCTTTCAACATATAAAAAACAAGAAAAAGTTAAGGAAACAATCAAGTCACTAATGGGAGATTATGGCAAGGAATTGAGGAACAGCAGGGAGAAACAGAGCTGCTTAATTCTTTCTTTGCATCTGTCTTCACACAAAAAGAAGAAATAGCTCAACCTACCAAAAACAGAACTGTAAAAGACAGGCGGGACTTCCAGTTTGAAGGGCTTCGGCAACAGGCAGAAATCCACAATCGTGCATGGTTTCTGTTTGGGTTTGCCGCTGGAGCACCCCGAGCTGGCTGGTTTCAGGGCTAAGCCACCCCGTAGAGGACAATCACTTAAATAAGAGAAAATAGTGTGCAGCAGCAGTCAAAAAGGCTAATTCAATCCTAGGCTGCATGAATAGAGGGACAGAATCAAGACCACATGAAGTGTTAATACCATTTACAAAGCCTTAGTAAGACCACACTTGGAATACTGCATTCAGTTGTGGTCACCACAATATAAACAAGATTTTATTTATTTATTTGTCAATCACTTACAAGATAATAAGTATAAGAATAAACATGAGTGTGAATACAGGAAATAGGTATGAATAAATGGTAGGCATGATTGTGCACTTATACATGCCCCTTACAGATGTGTTAGGAATGGGGTGAGGTCAATAGTAGATAGTTTAAGGATAAAGGAGTGGGGGCGAGAGGATGTAACAACAGAGTCAGGTAGTGCATTCCAGGCATTGACCACTCTGTTGCTGAAGTCCTACTTTCTGCAATCGAGTTTGGAGCAGTTTCTGTGGAGTTTGTATCTGTTGTGCACTCTTGTATTGTTGTGGTTGAAGCTGAAGTAGTTAGTGACTGGTAGAATGTTGTAGATGCTGAGATTCTGGAAAGAGTGCAGAAAAGAGCAAAAATGATGATTAGGGGACTGAATGATAAAATATATGAAGAATGGTTGCAGGAATTGGATATGTCTAGTCTTGTGAAAAGAAGGGCTGGGAGTGACATGAAAGCACTGTTCCAATATTTGAGGGGCTGCCAAAAAAAGAGGGGGGGTCAACTTATTTTTCAAAGCAGCAAGATGAGAAACAATGGGTGGAATCTAACCAAGGAGAGAAGCAACCTAAAACTAAGGAGGAATTTCCTAACAGCGAGGACAATTAACCAGTGGAATGGCTTGCCTTTAGAAGTTGTGGGTGCTCCATCACTGGAGGCTTTTAATTGACAGCCATTTGCTTGAAATGGTGTTGGGTCTTCTGCTCAAGCAGGGGATTGTACCAGAAGAATTCCAGTTCCCTTCCAACTCTGTTATTCTATGTTCTAATTTTAAGATGCATGGGAGAAATTAGTTTCTAATTTAATATGTAGAGGTAAAGATTCCCCTCGCACATATGTGCTAGTCATTTCCAGCTCTAGGGGGCAGTGCTCATCTTCATTACAAAGCCAAAGAGCCTGTGCTGCCCAAGACATCTCCGTGGTCATGTGGTTGGCATGACTCCATGGTGAAGGTGCAAGGAACGCTATTCCCTTCCCACCAAAGTGGTCCCTATTTTTCTACTTGCATTTTTTACATGCTTTCGAACTGCTGGTTGGCAGAAGCTAGGACAAATAATGGTAGTTCACTCCATTACTCAATGCTAGGGATTCGAACCACTGAACTGCTGACCTTTCTGATCAACAAGCTCAGCGTCTTAGCCACTGAGCTACCATGTCCCTTAACTGCTATATAAATAAACCAGTTAGTCCATCCAAACATTGATATGGTGGTTCACACCTGCTAGGTTACAACTATTGAGCATGTGCCACCATGCCATATTAGCACATTTTCTATCTGAGCAAACTATGACACAAGTGCTCAGTTTCATTAAAAACACCCAGCTTCACCTTGACTCTTGAGTCCAGATGCTCTGTGAATTAGCAACAAGAGATATAAACATGTTTTTCCCCTTCTAGTGCCAGGACAATATGTCAGAACAGTCATTGTTAATGTATCCCCTGTGGATTTCTACCATCACAAATCTTTCAAGATAAAACCTGTTATAAAACATACGCTCCTAGTTCTCCCAGTGGAGAAAGAACATGTCTGTCATCTTCTCTTGTCTTGCAAGTAGAAATTCCTGTGTTTGCTGAGACTCAGCTGGCCATAGTTTTCTCTTTGGCCCAAACACAGATAAGAGCCTGAACACAGATAAGAGGAAACATGGTTGATATAAATTTGCCCTGAGGCCCCCCAGGTAGCAAGGGTAATGTCTATTGTGCCAAAACTTTGGAGAGATTCCAAGTGCTACCTGCAATTTGACTTCTGCACAAACCTTGACTTGTGATCTTGGAGGGAAGGTGACAACAATGACTAGGCTGCCTCTTCTACTGCTGTTGATCTTCTGGTTCCTGCCTCCAATTGCTAATAAAAAGATGCAAACTGTATGTGTGTTGAGGAATTATTTGCAATCACAGGGAACCTAGTATAGGCCTGGTGATCTCGTTATTGGTGGGAATGTGCACCTGGGAATCATTGCTCCTTCCGTTGTTCTAGATTTCAAAAAAGATCCCTTCTTGTTTTTTGTGCCAAGTGTGTAAGTCTCATTTGGAGGGATATGATGTAGATACTTGTTTGCTTTGTTTTAAATCAAAGGTCTTCAAACTTGGCAAGTTTAAGATTTGAGGACTTCATCTCCCAGAATTCCTGAACTAACATGACAATTCTAGGAGTTGAAGTCCACAAGTCTTAAAGCTGTCCCATTTGAAGACTCTTGTTTTAAATCCAGGGAGTCTTTTTTTTTTTTTTAAATACCTATTCTAGTATCTAGTGTACTCCAAATCTTTATTCTTTGCTCAGCAAAGCGCCAAACTCTTAAAATAGGTAAAAATTCTCTATAGAGAAGTTTTCCTCAGTAAACAACAAAAGTAAAGCAGGACAAGAGCTTAGAAATTATGTGTCAGCTTTGGAAGCCATATTGAGATTTGATGCCCCCACGCTGCCACAACTGAGCCTGAGAAAGTGGGAGGGAGGAATTCATTTGAGTATATCTACTTAGACAAAATAAAATTCTTTTGTTTGGTTCAAGGTCACTGAGTGTGGGGTATAATGAAATGGGAATCTTATTTTAGGATGGAAAGTGATTGGACCATGTGATGTGGTGATGGCTAAGGGGGGCGGGGGTGGATTTGTAGTTTTGACTTTTGCAAGGATGCCCGGAATTTTCAATTTTGGGATTCCACAGATGTCCCAGTTACTATCCAAATAAAGGTATCTTTGATATATGTCTGTCTCAGAGTAATCGTTTGGAATGGAGGTTTGTTGAAATGCATTTGTGCTGGCATAGTGAAGAAGTTGGGTTATAATATTAATTTGGATAGAAGGTCATGGTGAGAAGCTTAAAGAGAAGAGAAGGATTATAACTACCGCAGCAAAGTGAAGAAGGAAAGGACTTTAGAAGGTATAAAATGTCCTGTGATGTGAAAAGAGACACTTTTCTTCTTTCTCACAAAGTCATACAAGTTTCATTAAGAAACATCTAAGGACTCAAACCAGTGAAACTTGGGACTTCTGACTCCAACAATACACACACATACACACACACACACACACACACAAAGGCAAGGCAAATCCAATAGCATGACCTTTTCTGAAAATTTCTCCAATGATTTTTCTCACGATAGACTCATACCGAAGAGGTGCCAGCAGTTCCTGGCTGTGGTATATGCAATCAGAGAGGTCAATAAAGATCTGGTTCTCCTCCCCAATATCACACTCAGCTTCCAAATTTCTGACAATCACTGTGAAACTGACAAGGGCCAAAAGTCCTAGGTAGGAGAGGAGACCGTAAAACATTACAGCTGAGCCTTGCTTACATTCCAAGATGATTTCTCCAAATAAGGAGTGGAAGTCCAAACTAAGAAATGGAAACCTGAGAGCTTCCCAGCCAGGTGGCACAAAGGACTGCTTGGATCAGGGGACAGGCTATGACAATGGAGTTGGACAGAGGTTTTCTTGAGTTTCCTTGTCTTGTTCCCTGGCTTGGTGGCCATGAAGGCCAGAACCACCATGACAGTTTTTGCCAACACAGAGGAAACTGCAAGGGCAAAGAGAATGGCAAAAGCAGATTGTTGGAAAACACAGGTGAGCTTCCTTGGTTCACCAATGAAGAAGAAGGAGCAGAGGAAGCAGAGCAGAAGGGAGATCAGGAGGATGTAGGTGAGATCTTGGTTGTTGGCTTGACAATAGGTGTCATAATGTTTAAGAAACATTGCCAGAACTGCTATAGTGATCACTGAGAGGAAAAAAGTAAGAAAAAAATAAAATATATCCCAGGGGGTCTTGATAGGTAAGGAAGTGGATCTCCTTGGCAATGCATTAGTCCTTGTCCTTGTTGGGAATTGGTCTTCTGGGCAGGTTCGAAGTGAGCTGCATCTGAAATCAAAAGTCTTTGTCTTTTGATATGCATGTTTCCTTTCTGCTATTGACTTACCTACAAAGGGATTAAATAAAGAACCCACTGTGCAATTTATGGGGCATCTAAAAGAGCATATCCTTCATTTATGATGATACTGATTAACCAGTGAAGAGGATTTGTTCAATTCCAGCTATCCATTCAAACTGCAGTGTACATTATCCCTTGCACAAAGGTGATAGATGTGTTTCCTTTCTGCAGGTGACCAACTCATAGAAGGAGTGATGAAAGAACCCATGTGCAATTTATGGGGCAGAGAAAGAGCAAATCATTTACCATGATCCTGGTGATAGATTAGCCTGAGACAAGAATTCAGTTCCAGCTACCCATTCACTGAGCCCTTCCATGAGTGGCTTTCCATCTGGGGTAAGCTGACTGTTATTTCTCCTATTTAATAATGGAACCCACAATAGACTGATAGATCTATTATCCAGGAATGCTAGTGTTTTGTTTGTGAATACATTATCCCTTCCTTAAATTCTCTACTTTGTACCTCAAATCGGTTCATTCAGAGATTTTTCTGCTCCCTCCTGCTCTACCAAATTGACATAGATAGATGAATGTCCTTTCTCCCTGGCAGGTCTATTTCCTCAGAGGTTGATAGTGCTGATGGAAGGAGCATATTCTGTGTAATAAAAATTAAAGCTTGGACTGCACACCCAACTTCCTCAGGAAAGATTGGAAGGCTGTTTTTGCAATTTGTTGTTAGAGTGGAAATCCAAGTTGGAGATTCATAAAGTCTGCCCTACAGCTATCCTGCCATGAAGTGCTGAGGATCGGGAAAGATTCTGTGACCAGGGCAGTTTAGATTGGTAAACTGAAAGGTTTTGCTAGAAGATAGGATTTCATGTCTATCTCATAAAAAATGACAATAACGAAAAATGACTTAATGAATGTTTTCTTTGATCTTAAAAGATTGACATTTGAAGTCTTGTCAACCTGTCTTGTTTGAAATGGTCCCTTCTGGACAAGCACCACACTAGTAGCAGCAAACCTTTTCTCCCTCTGGAACTGTCCTCCTCTCTCCTGCATGGCACCCCTTCATGCCACACCTGGCAAAGGGCACCTTCTGAAACAGAAAACAGAAATATTTGAAATGACCTAAGCTGCATTCATTCTTTCCCCCATTCCTATTTCCTTTCCCTATTCCTACATGTACATTCAGAATCTCTTCTAAAGAAATATATTGCCACTGTCAATCAGAAATCAAGAACAATCATGAGGTAATCATGCCTGGGACATTTCTGACACACCCATAAATGTGGGAGATTGGATCTGAAATCTCAGCCTGCAGAGGAAGGATGACAATGTTTCTAAAAGAAACAACTGTGAGGTTACAACTGAATGGAAATGGTCCATGGAAATCACTGTTGCTTCCTGTATTTGCATCCTGTATTTCAAGGAGACAATGTTCCCAAGCCTAACCCTTTGTGGAATGACACAAATCAAACCTCAAATGGGCAAAGCAGATTTTTCATCCAATGACTGCCCTAATTTCTGCCTTGATTATTGCTCACGTTAGAAAGTTGTTCTGCATCTCAGTAAGAGAATGCATCTTTCTTTTTTCTTTTTTAAATAGATTTTATTAAATTTACAATTTAAAAACACATCGACAATACATTTACAAAGTAGAAAGAAAGATGGGTAGGGGGAAAGAAGGAAAACACCCGGCCTAGCACACTGGATAAAAGCTGGTTGGGGGAAAGAGAAAGGATATAGAGGGAGAGAAGGGAAGGGAAGAGGAGGGAGAATAGGGTAGAAATACAATTAAAAATGAATGATATCTTTTTGTGACAGTCTGTAAGGATCATTACTCTTCATCATATCCAATCTACTCCTCTTTTCCATTATGTTTAAGTTACTTTTTATCATTTACATAATTTGTCTCTGTGTAAGCCAATTATACCATGAGTCCCAGTTGTCGTAAAATGTTGAGGACTCTTTGTTTTTTAATGCTATCGTTAATTTATCCATTTCAGCACACTCACAAATTTTCTGAATAATCATTTGCTCTGAAGGTGTTACGAGGTAATTTCCAGCATTGAGCAAACGCTAATCTAGCTGCGGTTAGAATATGGATTATTACGTATTTTTTGTTTTTTTTTTGGATAAATATCTATCAGAGATCCCTAGCAGGAAGAACTCTGGTTTACAGTCTATTTGTTCTTTAGTCATCTCCTCCAACCATTTACTGATTTTTTTGCCAAAGTTTTTGGGTAGTTTTACAAGACCACCACGTGATGATAATTTGATAATTTGATAATCTACATTGGCACTTTTTAATACAAAAAATCTATAACATGAGTCTGGGCACTAAATTCGAGAAAATTATCACAATAATTTACAATACCCAACAGGCCAATATACTATTTATTTTATTTATTTTATTTTATTTGTCAATTGTTTACAAGATAATAAGTATAAGTGTATACATAGTTATGAATACATGAAATGGGTACATATAAGAAAAATAAAAGAAAAATAAAGGTAACAATAGGACAGGGACGGTAGGCAGGTTGGTGTGCTTATGCACGCTCCCTACAGACCTCTTAGAAAAGGGGTGAGGTCAATAGAAGACAGTCTAAGGTTAAAGTTTTTGGGGTTTGGGGAAGAAACTACAGAGTCGGGTAGAGTATTCCAGAGATTGACCACTCTGTTGCTGAAGTCGTATTTCCTGCAATCAAGCTTGGTGCGGTTAACCTTGAGTTTGTATCTGTTGTGTGCTCTTGTGTTGTTATGGTTGAAGCTGAAGTATTAATTGACAGGTAGGACATTGCAATGTATGATTTTATATACCATGCTTAAATCAGACTGAAGACGGCGTAATTCAAGGTTTTCTAGTTCTAGAATTTCAAGTCTGGTGGCATAAGGTATTCTACAACGAGTAGAGGAGTGGAGAACTCTTCTTGTGAAATATTTCTGGACTTTCTCAATTGTGCTAATATCAGATATGTAATGTGGGTTCCAGACTGATGAGTTGTATTCGAGTATTGGTCTAGCAGATGTTTTGTATCCTCTAGTTAGTAGTGTGATATTACCAGAGAAAAAGCTACGTAAGATTAGGTTAACAACTCTTAAGGCCTTTTTGGCTATGTAATTACAGTGGGCTCTAGCACTTAGATCATTAGAGGTGAGTATTCCAAGGTCCTTTACAGAGCTTGGATCATCAACAAGATCTTGACTATTCAGCTTGTATTTTATTTTCGGATTTTTTTTGCCAATATGTAAGACAGAGCATTTATTTGTTGAGATTTGTAGTTGCCATTTGTTTGACCATTCTGATACACAGTCAAGATCTTTTTGAAGGGTAGCAGTATTGTCTGTGGTATTGAACAGCTTTACATCATCAGCGAAAAGAACGCAGTTGCTCTTAATATGATCACAGAGGTCATTTATGTAGAGTATGAAGAGAGTTGGTCCTAGAACACTGCCTTGGGGGACACCACTATTGACAGGTACAGAATTTGATAGGATGCTCCCAATTTTGACCATTTGTTGTCTGTTTGACAGGAATGCTTCTATCCAGTTATGCAGTTGTCCAGAGATACCATAGGATTTTATTTTTAGGAGTAGTTTGTCATGTACCACTGAATCAAAGGCTTTACAGAAGTCTATGTAGATTGCATCTATTGTTTTGCCCTGATCAAGTTGTGTAGTCCATATGTTTTTGCAGTGTAAGAGTTGCAGATTACAGGATAGTTTTTTTCTGAAACCAAATTGTTTATTGGAGAGTAGGTTGTTTGTCTCTAAGTGGAGGATGATGGATTGGTTAATAATTGATTCCATGACTTTACAGGTGATGCAGCATAAGGAGATTGGTCTGTAATTTTCAACTAGGCAAGGGTCTCCCTTTTTGAAGATGGGGATGACTGTGGCTTGTGACCATAGGTTAGGCAAGGAACTGGTCCTGAAAGCTTTTTCAAAGATTATGCTTAGAGGTTTGGCTATGGCAGTGGATAGCTTTTTTAAGAAATAGGCACATATTCCATCCAGTCCAATAGATAGAGATGGTTTTAGATTGCGTAGTGCTTTTTCAACATTGTCTTCTGTAAAATCGATATGTATTAGATCATTGTAGTTATCTGTGGTTCAGCTAGGAAATACTGGGCATGATCCATTGCTGTTTACAAATACTGAGCCAAAAAATGTGTTAAGGATGTTGGCTTTAATGGTGTCGTCGTTGCAGTCTTTACCATTAGATCCTATCAGGGGTGGGATGGACCTTGAATCTTTTAGTTTGTTGTTTACAAAATTGTAAAAAGCACTGGTGGAATTGGTGCTTAGAAGGTTTTCCTCTTGTTTAATGTGATAATTGGTGCATTCGGTCTTTATTTGGTGGCATAAATTTTTGTATCGGCTTTTGAAATTGGCAACGTGACCAGATTTGTTTTTCCACCAGAGTGATCTCTTTTTGGATTGTAGTTTCCTTATTGTTATGGGCAATCTGTTTTTTTGTTTTGTTTTGGGAGTTGTTGTTGGTACATATAGTTTGATGATTCTTTTGACTTCAAGTAAAAATATGTTGTAATGGTTTTCAACAGTATTGCATCCAGTGAATAGAGATTGCCAATCAAGGGATGAGAGATCATTGTTTATAAGATCATAGTTGCCTTTTTTGAAATTATAATTGGGGATCACATCATTGTGGTGGTTTTTGTGTGGACGTATGTTGAGACAAAAGTCAATCATATTGTGGTCACTGCTGGAAAAAGGTTTTTTAGTTTGTATTCCATAAGTTAAATTCAAACTATTGTAGAAGATGAGATTGAGGCAGTTGTTTAGTCTAGTGTTGTTGGTTACTAGCTGTTCCAGTCCCAGATTTGTAACAGCATTGTAAAAGGTTGCATGTATGGTTTCAGTTGTACATTCATTTAGGGTCCAGTCAATATGAGGCAGATTGAAATCACCAAGAAAGATAAAAGGGTATGGGCAGGATGCTGCCCATGTTAGTAGTGTATTTAGCTTGTTTACATGTTCGATGTCATAATCAGGTGCTCTGTAACATAGTAAGAATCGAATTGTGATATTTAAGGATAGTTCACAGATAATGGTCTCAGGAAGAGCAAGCTCCTGGGTAACTTGGATATTTTTTAGATGTAAGGACTTTTTATAGAAGATAGCAACACCACCACCTCTACGAATTTCACGATCTGATCGGTAAACATGATAGTCTCTTACTGTGGTAATGGAGTCAGGGAGAGATGCGTTGAGCCATGTTTCACAGACAAATATAATGTTGAATTTAGCCATATTTAGTAGGAGGAAAAATTCATGTATTTTATTTACAAGGCTTCTTGCATTGAGTAGCTTGCATTTAAGGCCAGCAGTAGTTGGAATTGAGGTAGTTAAGGGCGTGCGTGCCTAATCTTGGGTGATGGTGGATTGGTTGAGGTAGGGTTGTGGTTGAAGGTTAAAGCTGAGTTGCGGGATGTGTGACTTACTTTTGATACAGTCAGCATGGTAGTCAATGTACAGGTCCTTCTCTCCATTGTCGAGACGTTTTTTGAGTTCAGTGCGGAGTACACGGGAGTGGGCACGTTGCTGTATGGTTAGGTCAGGGTGACAATGGAGGTTCTTATGGTTGGTGTTTGTTTTGGTGAGTGAATTTATAGTGTAAATGAATTTGCGTTTGCTTGATTCATTTTTGCAAATGACCCTGCAGAAGCGTGGGGTCACAGAGCCATCTCTGTTTTTGAGTTCTCGGCCAATGCGGGAAATGTCAAGTATTTCATCAGGGGAGATGGTTGATGCTTGATAATCACTGATGATGTTTTGGACAGTTGTGATGTCATCATTATCATTGATGCCCTCTAGACCAAATAAGATGGCATTTGGACGTTTCCGTTCATGCTCAATAGCTTCTCTGATGAGGATTGGGATATCAATATTTGTCTGGGTTATGTTTTTTTGTGGATTGGGTTGTGGATTGGGTTGTGGTTGTTGAGTAGAGATGTAGTTTGTAGCTATTGGATGTTCAGGTTTTTGCGTTGTGTCTTTTTTTTCGAGGTTGGATAATCTTTCTTTTAAGGCGTCCAGGGATGCTACTATGGTGTCAAGGGATGTTAATCATGTTTCAATGGTATTGACTCTTTCCAACAGATCCAGTTTGGGTCTGCATGATTTTCAGAGATATGGAAACTTATTGGATGATTCTAGATATTGAATCATTTGCTTGGGTAATCCCAAGCAGTCATGATGAGCGTATTTGTTACACAGAGAACATTTGATGGAGTTTTCATTATCCTTTAGAGTTTTGTAGCATTTAAGGCATGTGCAGGAGTCTTGTGGTTCATTGTTGGGGATTAATTTCTCTTTAGGTTGTGGTTTGGCATTGGATTTTTTTCTTGGCATGGTAGGTTTGTTAAGATAGTACGTTGATTGAATTAATTAATGGAACAATTTTGGGTAATCAATATAGCCAATATCACACCAATCAATCAATTGCAGTAATCTCTCTAGTCAGATAATTTCCTAAGCAACAATCAACCTAATCAATTAATTACACTAATCATTAGTCACACTGTTCAATTAAATTCACTAAATCACTGATTTTACTAATCAATTAAATTACATGAATCTTGATCTTTTAAACCAGTCAGTAATCACACTCTTTGCACTAAACACTCTAATCACAATAATCAATTAATACAATAAATCAATTAAACCATTAATACAATATTTTATAGAAATTGACTAACTAATAATTGATGTAGGTGATGAGGTAGAAAAGTTGTAAGTTTTGAGGTAATGAATTAATGGGTGTTTGATTAAAGTAATGAGGTAGTATTGAGAGTCTTTAAGGAAAGGGTTGTTTGTTTTTCTAGCAGCTGTGATAGACTGGGTAAGAGGAATTTATTGCTCTGATTGCTGCTGTTATTGCTCTGTAAACAAAAGGCTGTAACAGGATGTTCAAAGCACGCTGGGTTTTTGAAAGAGAGCAAAACTCACTGAATTAAAACACTTTAACTACAATCAATATGTCTCTGAATAAGATTGTTTTGCAATAGTTTCCTAAAGTTCTTCAAGTTGAGTAGTACTAAAATACAGTCCAGAAATTTGGGTTAACTAATCCAATCTGTCCTTTACTTTTAAAGTTATTTCTAGTTGCAATACCTTTTTTTTTAACTAAATCTGACAGTCACTCCAGATCGTTAATCACAGTTATTTTCCTCCTTTGAGTCCCACTTTCCAAGGAAAATTCCACTGCAGAAATTTGAGTGATTCTAACCAAGACTAAGCACGCTGTTACAAGATCTTTTCTTTCTTTTTCACTTCTGTCTTAGCTGACTTACTGGTTTTGATTTAGCTATGCAGGCAATTCTCTTTTTAGTTCGGATGGAGGGGTTTTCTTCAGATCAGTCAAGGAGACTGTCCTCTCCTCTCAACAACCAAAGCATTCCTCTGCTGTCCAGGGTAACTTTTGGCTCCTAAGAGCCTCAGGGCTTTCTCCTCCCTCCTTGTTTCTCCCTGCCAGCTGTCCGATGTGGCTCAAGGGAAATTGTGTGGGGGATATTAATGGAAACACATTGTCTGGCATGGAAGATACTTCTATCAGCTGTGTGAGGGATTTAAATGAAGGTACGTTGTTTGCACTCCTCAGGCTCCAAGTGATCCAGTTCAAGAGCTCCACCAGTGTGGAGCTCGATGGAAAGAGTTTCACTTCTCTGGGGAAGGAGAGGAGGGCTCTGGATCAATTAGCAGGAGCTTTGCTAGCATTATTAGGGCTCCACGGCTTCAGAATCCAGCATTTTTGGGCTTGTTTTTGGGGATCAGGTTTACTCACAGTTACTGGTGCAAGCAGCAGCTTTAAAAGTGATTTCTGGTTCAGGTGGTGGCTTTATAGGGAGATAGTGCTCCAGGAGCGAGAGCTTCACCTTCCTAGTTGGTCGCCGCCATCTCGAATTCTAAAATACTAATTAATGGTGAACAAATAGGCCCATTAAACATTGAAAAGGGCGTTAGACAGGGTTGCCCCCTCTCACCCCTCCTATTTATACTTGCTTTAGAATCACTGTTAACGCGGATAAGACAAAACTCTGAAATCCAAGGAGTTAGGGTCAAAGCAGAGAAATATAAACTACAGGCGTTTGCAGATGATATGGTTTTCTTCCTAGAGGAACCCATGGAAAAAGGACATAATCTAATAAAAGAACTAGAACAATTTGGTTCAGTAGCAGGATTAAAGATTAATAGAAATAAGACAAAATTACGGACTAAAAATCTAACAGAGAATCAGAGGAAAGAATTAGAAAAAACCATGGGAATACAGGCAACAAAAAAGGTCAAATATTTAGGCATATGGTAAACACCACATAGTAAATCGCTCAAAGAGAATAATTATGATAAACTATTACAGCAAATTAAGAAAGACCTAGAATCTTGGAATAAGCTGCAGCTTTCTCTGCTGGGCAGGATTGCCACAATCAAAAGAGAATGCATCTTTCTTTGTACTTGTGACATTTCTTTGAAGCCCACCTTTGTAGCCCAGATGATTCCATCAGATTTAATGGTGAAATCCTGGCTTGTAGGAGCCTCAGGATTTACTTACCCAACCTTG